GGGTTTTACTATTTTAAGTTGCACACAAACTTTATGGATACCCTGCATAAGCAATGGTGCTGTCAGGTCTTTTTATTGAGGACTAATTATGGTGATTTAATTCATCATTGCAATCTCTTAGGTTGTTTGACATGAACATCACATTGTGGTTTAATATGACAGTTCTTTTTCTGTCTACAGTTATGGTGGGTTCTTCTAGAATTCGAAATGACTCCTGTTTTTAATTATATAGTATTTTTACATACTATCCAGAATTACCAGATATGACATAAACATAGATGATGCTGAGCCAGGCACCTTGGCTCACACCTGTAATCCTACACTTTGGGGTGCTGAGCCAGGCGGATTGCCTGAGCTCACGGGTTCAAGACCAACCTCAGCCAGAGCAAGGCCCCATCTCTAAAAATAGTCAGGCCTTGTGGCAGGTTCCTATAATCCCAGCTACTTCGGAGGTTGAGGGAAGAGAATGGCTTTGAGCCCAAGAGTTTGAGGTTGCTGTGAGGTATGAGGCCGCAACGCCATACTGAGGGTGACAAAGTGAGATTGTCTCCTCAAAAAAAAAAAAAAAAGAAAAAGAAAAGATGATGCCCACTGAGTGTAACGCTAGAAGGTGCTTTCCATCTGTACTTTCTAGTGACAAGGCATAATTGTAGAGCAAAGTGCATTTTGTTCCAAATAACGAAGCCAACGCTCTCTGCCAATTTCCAATCTCCCTCCTTGAGCAGTTACAGTAGATGGTGTCCCAAAGTTGCCCCTACAGTTACCATACACAGGGAAAGGGGAAATTGTAGCTCTCTGTGCTTTTATGTATAACAATTTTTTTTTTTTTTGAGACAGAGTTTCAGTTTGTTTCCCTCGGTAGAGTGCTGTGGGGTCACAGCTCACAGCAACCTCCAGCTCTTGGGCTTCGGTGATTCTCTTGCCTCACCTTCCCAAGTAGCTGGGACTACAGGTGCCTGCCACAATGCCTGGTTATTTTTTGTTGCAGTTTGGCTGGGGCTGGGTTTGAACCCGCACCCTTGGTATATGGGGCCAGTGCCCTACTCACTGAGGCACAGGTGCCACCCCATTTACAACAAAGTTTTACAAAACATTTAAAAGCTATTCTCTATGTATTACCATCTCTGTGTAAAAGTGTGTAATGAGCATTTTGTAAAAGTATATTTAGCTACAATTTTTCCTATGTATGGTGACTTTGAGGATAACCTGTACAGTTTTAGAAACTACTTTTCTAGGGTGGCAATCAGCCATTACCTGTCTCTGTCTTTCAAGTCTCCTCATATTTTGAGACCTGAAACTGATCCAGAGACCGTGAGGCCAGAAACTCAGCCTGGGTGACAGATGTGCACTGAGTATACCTGAGACTGTCCTCATTCCTATTTTTTGTTTCCAATAAAGTGCCAGCAAACTGCCATGCCTCAAGACTGTGATTTGTAGTCTTGTTTGACCCAGAGATATTTTTGTTGTTACAAAGTGTTGAGCAGAGAGGACTCTGCTGTGTTTGCTTTCTGCACCTGAGTGCTGCTGTAGTCTAAAAGGAGTAACAGGAACAATAGGGGGAGTTGTTCAACAAGCCACTTCATAGACTCACTCAAAACCTTCAAAATTTTAATTAAACCCAAGATTGACTCTTCCTTCATGAAAAGTCATAGTCACAATGCCAGAGTTGTGGAAGAAAAAGTCGTTTATTCTAGAGCAACATGGGAAGATGGCTGACTAATCTGGGAAAGACCACCTGAGGTTCCTGAGCTGACCAGAAGGTGGTAAAAGGGATCAGGAGTTTGGGAAACTATGTGTGGGAGCTTTCTATGTGTAGGTGTGGATGTCTCATTGAAATGGTGTCTTGCCATCTTTCAGTCTAGCTGACATGAGCTAGACCAAAACTGAAATGGGGGTTAACTGCTCACTATTTTCCTTCCTTAATTCCTATCTGGGCCTTGACACCCTCAGGACAGTGGTTATGGCACCAGCTACATGCACTGAGGCTGATGGTTTGAACTCAGCCCAGGCCAGCTAAACAACAAGGACAACTGCAACAAAAATGGCCAGGCATTGTTGTGGGTGCTTGTAGTCCCAGGTACTTGGGTGGCTGAAGCAAGAGAATCGCTTTAGCCCAAGAGTTGGAGGTTACCTTGAGCTGTAATGCCACAGCACTCTACCAAGGGTGACATTGTGAGACTCGGGCTGAAAAAAAAATTCCTGTGGGTATTCTGCAATCATCGTTCTATAGTTAATGGCTCAAAACAATTGGTGCAATTTTTGTTTCTTTTTTTGAGACAGAGTCTCACTTTGTCACCCTGCATAGCATGGTGTGGCATCACAGCTCACAGCAACTTCAAACTCCTGGGCTCAGGCCAACTTCTTGCTTCAGCCTCATGAGTAGGTGATAATAGATGGAGGTGCCCACCAAAACACCTGCTTCTTTTTACAGATGGGGTTTCACTCTTGCTCAGTCAGGTCTGGACTCCTGAACTCAGGGAATTCACCTGCTTCAGCCTCCGAGTTTGCTTGGACTATAGGCGTGAGCCATACGCCTGGCCTTCTTCCTACAATTCTTAAGCAAGGACATAAATAGTCATTGTTTGTATAAAGTGATTATTTGCTTGGAAGTAGAGTAGGTGCTGCTGTTGCAGAATCAGATACTTAGAATGGGCATAATGGGAAATAACTTGTATGCATATTAAACCTTGAGAGGTGATGCTTAACTAAGTGGTCCTCAGCCCAGGCTTCCAGTTAGGATTTCATGGCCAGTTTGAAGAAGCAGCTCATCTGTGACTCTGCCTTCCCACAGATTCTGTGAGTCTGGGCTGTGTCATCCTGTGGTTTTCGTTATATGTCCGCATGTGATGCTAAGGTTAGGCGAGTATCAAGCATGAGGGTTTCCAGGTGCATTTCAGAGAGTGGAGTTTATTTATTTTTTTACAGAAAGAGGTCACAGGGCCCATACTTTCATTTCCTTTTTTTTTTTTTTTTCGTACTTTGCTGGCATGGGAGGGCACTGGCTTTATGTGGAATCTTCTTCTCCCTGACTCCTGTGATAAAGAACAGGAAAGGGTGAAATTTTTTCTGTACTTCAGGGTCCCTCTTCCTGTGGATATGGTAGGTGGTAGTAGTGAAGGGGTTAGGGTCATGCCTTTAAAGGCATGTGATCAAGATGCAGGAGTAATATGTCCAGATAACCTCCCCTGAGAAGGAAATCAAGCCAAGGCGGAGAAAGACAAGGAAATGATTGCCTCTTGGGTAAATGTGTCCAAGGTCCAGGCCTGTGCCCACTTTTTCTCCTGCATTATCATGTTAGAATTTGGAAAATTCTAACAGTAATATTGTTTGCACTTGTGAATGGATGTCATCTTTGTTTATTGCTTCAGAAATCAACTGGGATAAATCCAGTGCTACAGTTCACTGCATGTTTGACAAAATATTATCATGGGACAGAAGCACTGGCATTCCCATTGAGCTTGTTGGAAATTTAGAAATTGAGCCTTGGCGCCTGTACTCAAGCAGCTAAAGTGCCAGCCACATACACCAGAGCTGGCGGGTTGGAATCCAGCTGGGCCTGCTAAACAGCAATGACAACTCCAACCGAAAAATAGTTGGGCCCTGTGACAGGCACCTGTAATCCCTGGTACTTGGGAGGCTGAGGCAAGAGAATCGATTAAGCCCAAGAGTTCGAGGTTGCTGTGACCTGTGACACCACTCTATCCAGGGCGACAGCTTAAGACTCCGACTAAAAAAAAAAAAAATTTAGAAATTGAATCTTCACCCCATATCTTCTGAATAAATTTCTACATTTTTTTCAAGATCTCTAGTTCTTTAGTGTACACATTAAATCTTTAGAGATACCATTTAACTCATTATGACTTTTTTTTTTTTGAATCAGAGTCTCACTATGTGGCCCTCAATGGAGTACAGTGGCATCACAGCTCACACAACATCAAACTCTTGGGCTCAAGTGATTCTCTTCCTTCAGCTTTCTAAGTAGCTGGGACTACAGGTTGCTGTTTTTTTGTTGTACATGTCATTGTTGTTTAGATGGCTCCAGCCTGGTTAGAATCTACTAGCCTCAGTGTATGTGGCTGGCACCGTAACCACCGTGCTGTGGGTGCCATGTCCCAGCTATTTTTTTTTTTTTTTGTAGTTGTTATTGTTGTTTGGCAGCCAGAGCCAGGTTCTAACCCTCCAGCCCCAGTGTATGTGGCCAGCACCCTGGCCACTGAACTACAGGTGCCAATCCTCATCATGACATTTTCATATAAAAAACGTACACATGGTGTAAATAAGACACAAAAATATACATGCCAGTATTGGCAGCCTTTCATTTCTATTGTGTCAACAAAAAAAGTGTAGTGTGTACACTGGTTTTATGCATCTTATGCCGTCCCCTTTCCTCAGTGTTAGACAACACATGAGGGAATATGTCTCTCCTATACTTACCTTATTAGGTAATTCCAGGCTTTCATATAAGTCAGAATAAGTTCTCTTTACTCATTTAACTAAAAGTGAAATTCAGCCTCCCTCTGGCTTCTTGGTAAATATGTTTGTTTTTTAGGAACTGTTGACATTCAAGGATGTGTCTGTAGAGTTCTCTATGGATGAGTGGGCCTGCCTGGACCCTGCTCAGCAGACTTTGTATTGGGACGTCATGTTGGAGAACTACAGACACCTGGTCTTCCTAGGTGAGAAGAACTGAAATACACAGTTCCTGGTCTACACTAAGCTATTCATATTATCTCTTTGTAAAAGGTTTTTATTCAGTTTCTTTGACTTGACTGCATGAGTATCAGTTTCTTGTTTCTAAGGACAATTTAGGGATATCATGGTATAGAAAAGAAAATACCAGAGATGATTTATTTTGGCATTAATTTTAACCTTTTTTGGCTGGTTTATATCCTTCACTAGATTAATGGAAATTTCAGAAATGTATTGGCATAGATTGTTACCCACACCTTTAAGTCTGATTTCTAGCACCAAATTTTATTTCAATACTACTGGGTGGTGGAGTTAAAAATCCTCCAACTTTAAATACTTTTTAAAGATTCTAAAGTTTTTGTAAGGAACGTGTATTGGGGGATTATTCTTTCAGGATGTTCTAAAGTGTTCTTTTCTCTACTTTAGCAAGGTAATAGATGACCACTTGAAGAATTCAAATCAGAGTCCTGTTCCTTTTTCCTAATACAACAGGTCTTACGCTCTCTAAGCCCGATGTTATCACCTGTCTGGAGCAAAGCAAAGAACCCTGGAAGGTGAAGACACATGAGACAGTAGTCAAGCCCCCAGGTAGGTTGGAGTGAATGAAGCAGGTAACAGTGGTCGGAGGTCCAAAGGTCAAGGAGGAAGCCACACAATATAGTATGACTAGGGAAGCTCAGATTCATTGGGATAGATTTCTGAGAATCCTGGGTTTCTTTGTCTTGTTCATATATAAGGGCACTTCTGTACTTTTTTTTTTTAATTTTTAATTTTTATTTTATTTTATTTTATTTTATTTTTTGCAGTTTTGGCCGGGGCTGGATTTGAACCCGCCACCTCTGGGATATGTGGCCGGCGCCCTAATCCTTTGAGCCACAGGCGCCGGCCTGTTTTGTTGTTTTTTAATTTTTATTTCCTTATTGACACAGAGTTTCACTCTCTTGCCTCACACTAGAGTGACATGGCATCAGCCTTGCACAGAGCAACCTGAAGCTATTGGGTTCAAGTAATTTTTCTCTCTCAGCCTCCCAAATACCTGGGACTACAGGTTTTTCCACAATGCCTGGCTAATGGATTTTTTATTTTTTAGTGGAGAGGGGGTCTCACACTTCCTCAGGCTGGTCTTGAACTTGTGAGCTGAAGTAATCCTCCCAGCTTGGCTTTCCAGGGTGCTAGGTTTACAGTTGTGAGCCACTATGCCTGTTTCATTAGTCCTTAATTTCCAGAAGAACTTTACTTTTCAGTGCTATTTCTTCTAGGTTATAGTGAAAATAAAAGAACTTACAAAAAAAAAAAAAGTATCTTTTATAGCTATAATGGGACTGCTCTTCCATTGCTTTTAAGGACATAAAATATTTGTGTATTTTTTAGTATCTTTGTGAAAAAAAATTTTTTTTTTAATATTCTTTAGGCTGGGTGTGGTGGCTCACATCTGGAATCCTAGCACTCTGGGACCCAAGGTAGGATGATTGTTGAGCTCAGGCATGTGAGACCAGTGTAAACAAGAGTGAGACCCTGTCTCTACTAAAAATAGAAAAATAAGGTAGGCTTTGGTTCCCCTAGCTGGGGTTGGGTGGGTGGGGATCAGGCTGGAGAACTGCTTGAACCCCAGGAGTTTGAGGTTGCTTAGGCTGATCTTATGACATTCCAGCCTAGGCAATAGACTGAGACTGTGTCTGGGAAAAAGGCTTGTTTTTCTTTAGCATCATATCCACAATATGTGTGTGAAGTGGTGATATTAGTATTTGGTTCAGAAATTCCAGGAACAGCACAAAGAGTTGTTGTATGTTATCTGCTTTCTACTTATTTATTCTATGAAGTTTTCAAAGAAGGTTCTGCAGATGTGACAGTCTGTAATTTTATCAGAACACTAAGAATCTCCCAAAATGTAAGAAAATCTAATGTTATTTAACTTCAAAATTTTCTTTTTAGGGAGATGCCTGTGTCTCAGTGAGTAGGGTGCTGGCCCCATATACCAAGGGTGGCAAGTTCAAACCCAGCCCCAGCCAAACTGCAACAATAAATAGCCGAGTATTGTGGAGGGCTCCTGTAGTCCCAGCTACTTAGGAGGCTGAGGCAAGAGAATTGCCTAAACCCAAGACCTGGAGTTTGCTGTGAGCTGTGACACCATGGCACTCTACCAAGGACAACAAAGTAAAACTCTGTTTCAAAAGAAAAACAAAACAGAAAACCCCAGAATTTTCTTTTTATATGAACTGTCGTGAGTAATTTAATTTCTTTGTGCTCTAATTGCTGACCTTAATACGGTTATAGGTATCTGTTCCCTATATTTCCTTTCTTGTTTCTTTTTTTGAGACAAGAGTCATGTGCCATGGCCTTATAGCTCAAGCAACCTTAAACTCTTGGACTCAATCAATCCTCTTGCTTCAGCCTCCCAAGCAGCTGGAACTACAGGCTGCCTCCACTACTTTTGGCCAGTTTTGCAATTTTTAGTACAGTTGGTATCTCCCTCTTACTCAGGCTGGTTTTGAACTCCTGAGCTGAAGTAGTCTACCTTGGCCTCCCTGGGTGTTAGGATTGGAGGTATGAAACCCCAACTCTGGTAGTTGAATTTCTTAAATATACTATGTCATTGGAGAATTTAGAGAAATCCTGAGAATATATTCATGTCTCTGTTGTTACAAAATAGTTCTTCCTCTATAATTACCTCTAGATCAGGATATGATTTTTCATACACACACACACACATATATACGCAGCAGAACCTCTATAAGTTGACCACTCAAGGGACTGTAACAAACTTGTCAACATACAGAGGTGATTAGCATAAGGAACTAGGCCCGCTGTACCAAAACACACATGTGGTGTATGTCTGGTCTATGAACATCAGATCAACTTGAGGAAGTGGTCAATGTAGTGAGATGGAGGTTCTAGAGTGTCTATATATATATATAAATATATACACAAAAAGTTATGTAAACACATACACACACACAGTGCTTAGATCTGCAAGCCTGTCTTCATGGTCATGAGTGTTCATCTTCCTCCAGGTCTCTGGATGGCCAGATCATGGCTAGGAGAAGTTGGAGATGACCACATAGTCACTTCAGAATTCTCAGTGGGACTGAGTTGAGGCAGTAACCAAGACCAGGGTTTTTGTAGTTTGCAAGTAAATGATGCTCTGCCTTCTCTAAATGACACCCTTGAGAACATTAGGAGAATTTCACAGCCTTCTCCCTGGATCCTACAGCTGTCATAAAACCACTTTTTGTGGGATGGTGTCTCACTGTATTGCCTAGGCTTGTCAAACTGTTGGACTGATGTGATCCTCTCACCTCAGCCTCTAAGTAGGTGAGATGACAGGTCTGAGTCGCTGTGCTCAAGTGTCATTAGAACATTTTTCTCTGTAGATGGCTCCCAAATATTTGTTCCCATGGTGGGTAGAGAAGAACATGGGACTTGTATTCTATCGTGCTGCTGATTATACTGTCTCTATATATGTTTTCACATTCCATTTTATTCTGTATCCAATTTTCTGTAATTTTAGATTTAAATATTCAGAACTATCTGTTAGAATTTCAAATTGAGTAACATAATTTAGCAATGAATAGGCATTCTATATTTATTAAAAGGCTCACTTGAAAGTTCTAGTTTACTTTAGGCAAAAAGATAATCAACAGAATTGTCATTACTTTCCTCAACCTATATCTAAATTGTATTTTGATTTTTCCCAAATGCTTATTTTACATAGTATGAATTATCGATGAATTATCGTATTTTACAAAGTTTGTATTCTTTCTTTAGAAACGTAAGGCTTTCGATTGCCTCTAAGGGTGAATTAAACTTTTTCAGTTTTTGTAAAAATAGCAATATACTGATAACATAATAAAGTTATCTTACTCTTTTTAAATGTGTATTCATTAACATTTTCTAATAAAGTACTTCATACTGATAAATTGTACATTTCCCTGAAAATTTATTGCCATATATTACATAGAATATTCAATGTACCTGCTCTCATTCAATAAAATGTTAACTGATGTTAAGAAAACATATGTGCTTTGGATCAGTCCACAGTTCCAGTGGAACACTAGTTATTTAGAGAAGAGAATTTTTTTTTTTTGAGACAGAGTTTCACTATGTTACCCTCAGTAGAGTAAAGTGACATCATAGTTCACAACAACCTCAAACTCTTTTGGGTTTAAGCAATTCTCTTGCCTTAGCCTACCAAGTAACTGGGAGTACAGGTGCCCACTACAATGCCTGGCTATTTTTTTGTTGTAGTTGTCATTGTTTTTAGCAGGCCTGGGTGGGGTTTGAACCCGCCAGCCCCAGTGTAGGTGACTGGCACCCTATCCACTGTGCTATGAGCTCCAAACCTAGAAAAGAGAATTTTTTTTGAGATGGAGCCTCTCACTCTGTTGGCTGGGGCTAGAATGCTGTAGCATCATCCCTGCTTCAAACAATATCTAAACCTAGGTTGAAGGAATCCTCCTGCCTCAACCTCCAGAATAGCTGGAATTACAGCTGCCCACCACAACTCGTGGGTATTCTTTTCTTCTCCTAGTGGAGAAAGGGGTCTCACTGTTGCTTAGGCTGGTGTCAAACTTCTGAGCTTAAGCAGTTTACCCACTTTGGCCTCCGAAAGTGGTAGGATTACAGATTGCAGGTAGGATTCCAAGTAACCCAAAAAGTTTTAAAAAATGGTATAGCAATGTTGTACACAGAATTTAACATCTAATTTTCTTTTTCTTGTTTTGCAATTCCATGTTAGTGTGTTTCTTATTGTTGTAGGCTTTTAAACTTCAATTTATTTTGTGTTTGGTTTCATCTGTGTAGTATAATTTTGATTGAAACCTCTAATTTATATTTTAATATGTGGTTCAATTTTAAATGAATCATCTGTATGTCTTCTGCTAATCATAGCTGTATGTTTTTTCTATGAATATTACCCCAAGTTTGTTTATGGCTTATCTTGAATATTTCTTTTCCTGGGTGAATTTCACTGGTTATTGTGTCCCATCTAGGTTAATAGTCATGGGAATAGTCTTACTGTTGGCCTCTGTGTATTGATGAATCTATATTTGGAGAGGAAAAAAGTTTTGTAATTTTCAGGTAATATTTGAGAAACTTTGTAAATATTTTTGTTAGCACTTTAAAATTTTAATTTTGGCATCAATTCTGGTTCCTCCCTGTGTGGGCTGACTGCTTTCTGGTGCGCACTTCTAATAGTGGGGAAGCCTCAGTGGAGGCTCAGAACGGCGGCCATGGCCAGAGTAGAGCTGGGGCCATGAAGCCACCGGTACTGGGCTAAACAGGTCCAGCCCGCGGGTCCTGCAGCGGTGTGGGGCTACCCGTGTCGCCAGGAGCATGGGAGCCTCCTCATTCCCGATGGTTTTGGCTATGGAAAGGGGAAGTGTACTAAGCAAGGTCCATCCGGAGCCCACCAGACACTTTTGGAGATGACAAACCTGAAGATCTTGAAGAGGCAAGTCCATTTTCTTTTAAAGAATTTCTGAAAACCAAGAACATCAGCTTGTCCAAAGAAGATGCAACCAACAGAATTTATTCAAAGGAAGCCTGGAAGCACTCAGTGAGACTCGACCACAACTCTCCGACCACCTAGC